CGTTTTAGTTCTTTGTAGATTCTGGATATTAGCCCTTTGTCATATGGGTAGATTGCAAAAATTTTTTCCCATTCTGTTGGTTGCGGTTAGCTCTAATGATAGTTTCTTTTGCTGTGCAGAAGCTCTGGAGTTTAATTAGATCCCATTTGTCTATTTTGGCTTTCATTGCCATTGCTTTTGGTGTTTTAGTCATGAAATTCTTGCCTATGCCTATGTCCGGAATGGTATTTCCTAGATTTTCTTATAGAGTTTTTATGGTGTTAGGTCTTATGTTCAAATCTTTAATCCATCTGTTGTTAATTTGTATAAGGTGTTAGGAAGGGTCCAATTTCAACTTTCTGCAAATGGCTCACCAGTTTTTCCAACACCATTTATTAAACAGGGAATCCTTTCCTGATTGCTTGTTTTTGTGAGGTTTGTCAAAGATCAGATGGTTGTAGAGGTGTGGCATTTCCTCCAAGGCCTGTGTTCTGTTCCATTGATTTATTTATATTTGTTCTTATAGTTCCCATGTCTCTCTTGAACTTTCTTAGCAAAATTGTGTGCTAGGTACTTTTCCCATTAGATCCTTTAAGGTATTTATTACAATAATTGTAAATTCTCTCTCTGATGATTCCAACATCTGTCTCATATGTGAGTCTGGTTCTATTGATTGCTTTGTGTCTTGGTAGTGAATTGTTTTTTCTTGCCTTTTTCTGTACCTTTTAATGGTTTTTTAAAGGTATGTCACCCTGAGTAAGACAGTGATAGTTGTGTTTACGTCTGAAAATGATCTTGCCTTTTTTTCTCTTAAAGGTTGTAGTTTGAAAGAGTGTTTGAGATGTTTAAAAGAGTCACTAAGTTTCCTATGAACATACAAAAAATTTTTAGGGGCTCAAGGTATCCAAGTTTATCTATAATTATACTGTCTTCTTGTTATTAAATGTTATTTGTAATCACTTTTTAGGTGTTTTTACTTCGTGCCGTGCATTCTCTCATTTGCGCTTTTTAAAACAAACCTTTGGATTATCAAGTGAACTTATCCTTCATTTTACAGATGTGGAAACTTACATAAAATAATTTATCTAAAGATATATATCTATCAAGTAACAGAATAAGGACTCAATTCTCTAGGCCTATCTGATTTTTTACCCTATATTCTTAACTGTTACTTGAATGTATCACTTTACTAACAACAAAAAACATTTGACTATCAGTTATATTGAAGGTCCTGTAATAAGGGATATGGAAGGATGACATGAGCAACATGAAATGATTGTTTGTAATTAGTTAGCTAATATTTTAATATTGGACTTCAAAGAGCATCCTAGAATTTGCTAAGTAATTAGGATGACAGAAATACATAGTAGTAGATTTTACTTATAAGTGATACTCAGTTGGCTTATTTTATAGATACTTCTCTGGTTACTATCAAGGATTCATGGCCATTGTAAATTGCCAACACTCCTCAGAAGTAAGACAATCACTGGCATGGTTCCCAGACTAGTATTTATTCAGTGCTGTAGATCACTGTATAATGATTAATTGCACTATGGATCACAGTATAGGGATAGAATTAGATATCTGGAAGTCATAATTGATGCAATAAAGAAGCTAAAACATAACATTGTAAGAGAGAAGAACATTCCTTCCAAGCCAAAGAGAATACTTGCAAAGAGGGTAAAGGGGAAGAGAAATTACTAGACCAAGAATGAGGTGGTTAGTTTATTAGGAGAATTAGAGTAATCTGGCAGTGCTGTCCAGTAGAATTTTCTGTGATGATGAAAATGTTCTATATGTGTGCTGTGGAATACAGTAGATACATGGTCATATGTGGCTATTGAACACTTGAAATGTAGCTAATTGATTGTGCAAGAAAACTAAATTTTTTTTAATTTTAATTTATATGGTAGATCTGGGCATTATTTTGGATAGCATAAAACTAGAATGTAATCAGGCTGGAGGAAAAGAGTAAAGAAATGGTACAATGGAGATCATAGTATTAAGTTGCAAAAGCTCTGCTGGCACGGTGGCTCATGCCTGTAATCCCAGCACTTTGGGAGGCCGAGGTAGGCGGATTATGAGATCAGGTGGGCAGATTATTGAGACCATCATGGCCAACACGGTGAAACCCCGTCTGCTAAAAATACAAACATTAGCCAGGCGTGGTGGTGCACTCATGTAATCCCAGCTACTGGGGAGGCTGAGGCAGGAGAATCGTTTGAACCTGGGAGGCAAAGGTTGCAGTGAGCCAAGATCATGCCACTGAACTGAGGCGAGAGCCTGGTTACTGAGCGAGAGCCTGGTGACTGAGCGAGAATCCCATCTCAAAAAAGGAAAAAGAAAAAGATACAAAAGATTGTGTGTGTATATGTGTGTATGCATACTAGGAGAGGGGTATGGTTGAAGAGGGAGGGAAAAGTGTGAGAAAAAAACAGAGAACATTGTAGTTGGACCAATATTTATCGAATACTATAGTCTATTAAATGGAATTTTATTTGTGTACCTAAAATATATTATGAAAGGTAAGAATTATCTGTGTTTTGATGGCGAGGCCACTGAAGCAAGAAGTTAAGTTGCCCTTAGTTCATGTAGCTGAAAAGTGGTGAGATATTTGAATACATGTTTGAAGCCCATGCATATTCTACTATACTGCCCTGCCTCTCACAAAAAGAAATGAAAAATAGTGGATGAATTAGGAAAAGGACAAAAATAACAATTTTCTGAATTTTTCAAGGTAAGTGCTTTTTATCTTTTCTCTTTTAAACTATGAAGATAATTTTTTAAAAGTATGTGTAATGGCAATATCTAAAGTTTTCACAGGTTGTTTCTGCTGATTCTTGTGCATGGTGTTTTATTTCTTTGTGTTCTTCCTTACCTTTGATTATATACTATTTATTGTTTTTTAAAAAAATACTTTTTGTAAATAATTTGAGGCCCAAGAAGAAGGTGACTTTGTCCAGAAAGGATTTTCTTTTTCTTTTGCCTGGTGACTGTTTGGAATACCCTTTCTGGGTTACCTTAAATTAGGTTTAAAGCTAGAGGACTGTACAAGCATTGTGAACCTGCAATTCAATTCACTGTTTTGAGAGTTGGTTTACTTCTGTTAATTCTGCTTGGGGGAAACAGATCCTTGCTCACTTATCTTTCTGGGTTCACATTTTTCCTTCAATTTGGCCAGGAAATTTCTTATACTTTTCGGCTCTTTGACTTTAAGACATTTCTCCCTGTGTTTTATGTAATAATAATGGCTATTTTCATGGAAAGTGCTTGGTCTCCTGTTGGATCAACTGTTATTTTAGACTAGTCTGCTATTATTAGAAACAAGAGTCTTGTTTTATTTTTACTTTTATGGAAGAATACATTGCTTATAATTTTCATGTAATTCATGGCATAATCTTTCTGTTGTTTAATATTTATTTTTTATAATTTTTTTCTTTTTTGCATAAAATAATTTTTTGCTGGTCTCATGTCGATACAACTTTTGTTGTCTTCCTTATTTTCATTGGTGATATTCTTCGTATAAGCTGGGCTGGTAATCCTGCAAGATTATAAGTGATTGCTTATAAAATGTTGGATTAATTGTCTCCAGACACTTTTCTCACCAGCATTCCTCTCTAGGCTCTGCCTCCCTCTGGCTAGACAGAGTTTCCCTGAAGCCTCATGTATAATAGGTTTTTTCCATCTTTTGTTCTAATTGCCATTCTTCTTTTCAGAGTAGATAGGGGACGTAGGCATTATTTTTCTGTTAACTTTGATTTTGTTGCCCTAGATGTGACATATTTGTACATGGCATGCTTAGCACAAAACTTAGGTCTTAAAATGTAGTTTTCTGGCAGTTTCTTACCTTCAATTTCTTGATTTCCACATGCTTCCTTTTGGTACCATTGTTATTTATTTCCCTGCCTTAAAGAGTCTATTGATTTATCTAGAAATTAGTGCCATCTTTCTAATGACTTTCCATTTCTTTATATATATATAACGAGGCTTTGAATTAATTGATCTTAAATATTCTGTCTCTAGTTTATGATATCCATGTAATTTATGCTTCTAACATGTAATTTATCAGTTTAAAAATAAGTAGGCAGGCACTACAAAGGGGAGCAGTAATTATTTTATTATGTTCAAATCTTCTGTTAAAAGATATTGATCTACATAAAAAACAGCATACAAATGTTTATAGCAGTTTTATTCATGATTGCCAAAAATCAGACGCAACCAAGATGTCCTTCATTAGGTGAATGTATAAACATACATACAGTGGCGTACTATGCAGCAGTAAAAAGAAATGAACTGTCAAGTTATAAAAAGATATGAAGGAATCTAAAATACAAGTTGTTAAACAAATGAAGCCAGTTCTAAAAAGCAACATACTTTATGATTGCAACTACATGACATTCTGGAAAAGGCAAAATTATAGGCAGTAAAAAGCTCAGTTATTGCTAGCAGTGACAGGGAGAGGGAACAGGGTTGAATCAGTATTGCACAGTAGGTTTCTAGAGCCTGTAAAGCTAGTTTGTCTGCTACTGTAATGGAGGGCATATGGTATAATGGAATTGTTAAAACCTGTCGAACCGTACAACACAAAGCTTGAACCATAATTTAAACTATGGACTTCAGTTAATAAAAATCTTTCAATATTGGGTCATCAATTTTAGCATATATACCATACCAATGAAAGATGTTAGTACTAGGGAAAACCATGTGGAGGGTGGGGGCAGGTAGGAAGAAGAGTACATGAGAACTCCATACGTTGCTATTTTTATGTAAACCTAAAACTTACTCTAAAATAAAGTCTGTTCACTTTTACAAAAGCATATTAATGCCTTCTTATGACCTAAAGAGGTCATAAATATTGACAAAAATCAAATAACCCTATCTATTCTGAAGGAACTTAACCAAAACCACCTTGTGTAAATATGTTCTTTTATTGTTAACTATTTGGTACTTACTATGCACTTTTAAGAATATCTGCACTCATGTTCCTGTCTTTTCCCTTTGTTTTTGGTCTTTTCTATTAGGTGTACTAGCCCTCTCTTGGTACCCACCTAATGTAAATGATGAAAATGGAGAACCTACTGACGACTTGGTACCCACTATTTTGGATAAAGCTCATAAATATAACCTGAAGGTATTTTATTTTATTTTCAAGCTATACATAAGTTAATTCCTTTGGACAAGAGGATAGTAATAACAATTTTTGAAATAGTTATTTTAAGTAAAAATGATAATAACTTAGAATCTTTTAAATACTACTATATTTATTTCATACAGAAAATTTCTATAATTATAATAGGAATTTCAACCTTATCTAAATTATATTTTAGATTCTTTACTGTGTTTCTAATCATGTTTTGTATTTATTTTTATTTTATTGTAGAAAAGAGGATTTGAAAGGTTCTGTTGTGAAGATAATACAGTAGTAAAGATTTATGTGTCTAAATGTCTTAGATGTCAAACATTTACTAAAAGCTAGTAGTATTGCCATATAACTTTGCATATTTATGAAATAGTTAAAAAATATTTTTCAAAATCCAGTTTTTATTTAAACCTTATTTAACATGCACACACATACAAATACACACCTGTGTACATATCGAATACAGGTGAAAGTTTGAAGATAGAGGAAAATCAAGTATATTTCATGCAGAAATTAAGGTGTGTTACAAATGAGGGAATAGTTCTCATAGTCTAAGATTTTACTTCTTTCAGCAATTAATGAATCATGGTAAGAAACAGGAGCAATAGTTAAAAGGAATTGAATAGCACTACAAAGGAAAATTTTCTACTAAATAGCAAGTAAATAAACACTGTTTTTAATATCCAAAAATACTTTTTAAAAATTGGTCTTGTATTAGATAGCAATATTGATTCTAATAAATTCACAAAAACTATAACCAGAAAGAGATTTAAAGAATCTTAATTGACTATCCTAGAAAAAATATATAAAAGGTAATTGAACAAATGTCTTCCCCAAAGTACCAGGTTTACCTGTCAGTTGTATTAAGAATAGTGGATTTTTATGATAATTGAAATACAGTATCAACTATACTCATTATCTATTGCTGCATAACAAATTATTCCAAAACTTGGTAGCTTAAAACAATAAATATTTGTTACCTCACACAATTTCTAAGGGTCAAGAATCTGGAAGTGGGGCTTAGTTGGGAGTGTCTGGGTCAGAGTCTCTCAAGGAGGTTATAGGCAAGCTATTAGCTGGTGCTGCAGTCTTCTGAAACTGGAGGATCCAGTAACAACTTTCTCAGTAATGGTTGACAGGCCTCAGTTCCTTGCAATAGATGAACTGGGAGACTCTGTACTTCTATATATGGGCCTCTGGCTTCAGTAGAGTGAAAGATCTGAGAGAAAATCTAATATCAGGGCTGCAGAATTGTTTTTTATTGTCGTTTTTTTTTTTTTTTTTGACATAAATCTTTGCAGTGACATGTTATCACTTCTGTCCCATTGGCACAATGTGGGAGGGAACTGCAAAGTTGTGAATACTACGAGGTGGATATAAAGGGAGCCATCCTGAAGAATTGCAACCGCAGAAAAATTCCGAATTCATTCTACAATAGCACAATTTTTATTTAAAAATGGATAGAATAAGAAAGAAACTTATAGACTGATCTCACCAATAAAGATAGATTGAAAATTCCTAAAGGAGATTTTGATAAGAAGTGTTTATTAGCAAGGATTTAAGAATGGTTCTAAGCATATGAAATCTGAATCTAAATTCAGGTCTACATTCAATCTGGCTCAACCACTTTGTAGCTATATAAACGACTCATGTCTCAGTTTCTTCATTTCTAAAATGGAAATAGCAAGAAAACCTTCCTTACATACAGAGTGCTTATAAATAATATATGAGATAATAGATATAAAACATAGATTCCTGTCTGGCACAGAGTAAGCACTAAGTAAATAAAACCTCACTGGTTATTTAAAGAAGATAAAACATGATAATCTTAACAGATACTGGAAATTTTCATAAATAAAAATTCATTGTTAATAAAGTCCTTAGTAAACAAATTTCTTTAGTTCAATAAAGTGTGTTTCTTAGTATCTTATTACAAACACTATATCTGATGGAGAAAAAGGAGTGTCATGCTCATTCAACCAAGATCAGCACAGCACAAGATTATGATTTAGTACTGTTAAGGAGATTCTAAAAGCAGTTTAACTAAAAAATGCAAAAGGAAATAGTTCTAAATAAAATGATTTTATTTTCTTTGCAAATGACAAATACCTACAAAACCCCTGAAAATTGTCTAAAAACTATTAGAAATAATGAGTTTGTAAGGTGCCTGGAATGAAACTATGTACAATTCAGTAAGATTTCTATATTACAGCACAAAACAGCAAAGAGTACATTGAAAATAACATCAAATATATATGCAAAGAAATCTTTAGCATTTTATCAAGAGATATGAAAGACCTGCATATATGACATTCCGTGACTTTGATGAGAAGATTCAAATTGCAGAAGTAGTCAATCTTGCAAACATTTCTATTTCTTTTAATAACATTTATAAATTTAATGTAATCATAGGTAGAAATTCTAATGAGATTTTAAACACAGAATTTAACAGACTAATTCCAAATTTTATAAATATGTTAGAATCAAGTAAGACTTTTTAAAAAATGAGGGGAAAGTTGGTCTTCCCAGATAACGATATACACTATAAATTGGTGGAAATTAAAGAGTTAGCCTCAGTATGGGAAAAGAGATGGATACAGAGTCCTGGCACTTAATATGGGAATATAGTATGTAATTCAAAATATCAGGTATAAAAATAATATTTATTCATTATCTTGCCCTCATGAAACTGCTTAATTTTATTTTTTTATTTTGGTATTATCCTCTGTATTCTGTGTCCTTGGACATCAGATAACTCTTACTCTCTGCTTGCTCATTTTTCTTAGAGTTTATTCTTCTTGTTCAATGCATTGTGTTTGCAAATCTTAATGAAAATGTGAGGTTGGACACAGTGGCTCATGCCTGTAATCCCAGCACTTTGGTAGGCCAAAGGTGGGTGGATCTCTTGATGCCAGGAGTTCAAGACCAGCCTGGCCAACATATTTCAACTAAAATACAAAAATTAGCTGGATATAATGGTGCACACCTGTAGTCCCAGCTACTTCTTGAGAGGCTGAGGCTTGAGAATCACTTGAACCTGGGAAGCAGAAGTTGCAGTGAGCTGAGATTGTGCCACTGCACACCAGTCTGGGCGACAAAGTGAGAATCTATCTCAAAAAAAAAAAAAAAGTGATTTAGTGTCTTTTAACTGGAGACCATTTACCCTGATACCAAGATTGCTACCACTCTTAAAATTTGCTGAAGCTTTTTATTTGCTCTGTAACTTCTTGCAGTTATATTCTAATGGAAGACAGTCTGGTTTGTCCAATACTGGTAACTGAGCCCTGTAAGATATATTGAAATGTTGCATTTCAAATAAAAATATTAAACATTAGTTTTATATTAATTTTCCTTTTGCAATCTAGAAACTAAGTAGTTATTGGAGAATAGAAATGGAATTCTAGGGAGTGAGAAAGAGCTAAATAGGCAAGCATTTTTTTATTCTTGTCCGTAAAGCTGCCTCTTCTTTCTAATTTACTGTCCCGAAACTGTTAAGACAGCATCTCTCAAATTAGCTAACTAGCCAAGAGCTGTCACCTACCATGTCCCTTTGTGCCTTTCAGTGAGTTCTTATTGACATTTGAAATCTGAAAATAGGCAGGCCTCCAGGTTCTGGCACCCAGTCTGAGATTGGGTAAGTGATTGATTTATCTTCTACAAAACAACTCCAGGGCTGCTCTACTGTCTGGGGCCTGCCAAAATCCTGGGAGATGGGAACTCAAGAAACTGGCTTTTTTTTAGTGCTTTCAGGAAGTTTTTAAAGAGAAAATGAAAATGTTATGATATACAAGGAATGGTTGGCTTTTTCTCCTGTTTAAAATACCTGTGTAGAAGGAGAGTGTGATGAGCTCAACCACTAATTGCCTATTTAATATTACCAACATACTTGATCTCTCTGTGCTACAGATTTTATATCTAATGATCAGAAAAACTTGGAACATCATAGACCAATGTTTTCAAAAATTTTTAGAACAGTTTCTTGGCCTCGTGTCTGGTGAGGAGCTATATATAGACAAAGAATAGACCTGGAATCATGAGACTAGAGCTTGTTCCAACTGAGTGGCACTGGAGTCTTATATTAGTTCCTTGATCTTCTTGGCTTATCTCCTTCATTTGTACAATGACAGTGAAGTCATAAGATAGTTTTATTATTGGATTTATCTATGATTTCTGTTGTTGTGGAACAGGTATTTTTCCTAATTCAATAAAATGTAGTAAATTCTATTTTTTTTAAAGAATGGCAAACTTTTTTCTTGCTAATATAAGGAAATTTTGATATGTTTAATGAATGACAATACCTTACTAGTATTACTTAATATGCTGAGGCAATCTAATAGGAAAAGATTAATGAAGTTAGAGATTGTGTGCTCACAAATTGGAGCCTCCAATGCATATAACTGACCATGTCTAAAACTTTAGGTGTAAAATGTGTTCGTCTCTTAGTGTTCATCTCTTTTTTTCTGGCTAATCTTCAAAGCATGGAAATATTCTGCCCTTTTTCCAACATGGTGATTAATATTAATTAGATTACTCCCCTCCCCCCAAAAACCCTTCCATGTATCAATTTTATTTTAAAAATATTCTAAGGGTTTTAATGTATTAATTATCCTTTAATCTTTATTGATGTGTTTCTCCTTTAATTAGTTTTTGTTTTCTGTTTTTTTATTTTTGCTCTTTCTACTTTTGGAGGTAAAAATAATTTTTCCTTATTTTTATTCCTTTTAGTTTAGGGGTAGAGTATTTTTAAGGAATGAATGTGTCTCACAGTTAAGCTTTTGTTATAGCTCATTCATTTTGATTACATAATGTTTTTATTCATATTAGTCATTAAATATTTTCTGATCGTAATTCTGATTTGTTAACTTCAACCAAGAGTCATTTTAGGTAAGTGCCTTTTAAATTGTAAACAAACCTGCAACAAGAGCAAATTATTGGTGCTTTAGTTATTTTTCATTATCTTTAGGAAATGTGACTAGGGTTTTTTTTTCAGT